TTTGCCGCTGAGCTAAATCCCCAGCCCCCCCTAATAATATTATATAGAGAGAGTATATATATATTTAACTGTACAAATCAAAACTATTACCTGTACAGTCAACTATAATTGGCACAATCTTCTGTAAGTAAAGGAAACATTTGGCTTTCACTAAGATTCATTTGTTTGTGAAAGGGAGATTTCACAGGCAGTGAAAGCTATTTGAACGTCCACTACCTTCTCCAATGACAATCATACAATGTCAATTTAGTATTCATAAAAATATTTAGATTCATCAGTCACAAATGGGTTGAAGCTGCCTACTGAATTCAAAGTTCTATACTAATTGAATAGGATTTTAAGACATTGTAATTCTTTTCCTCATAATGCTCATTACTTCCCTGGGAATATACTATATCAGTTAAATCATTCTTTGGGCATTCGTTCATCATATTTTAAAAATATCTAGTAGATTGCAGGTATATGGATTGCAGGCAAATTGCAGGCCTTTGTTTTCCAAACAGTTAAGTGCAGCCTAAGGAAAAGTGAACAGGTAAAAAGCGACACTATCGGAGCAGCTGGGAAGGAATAGTACACGCCACCTCTGAGGAGGTATAAAGATGACGAGGTGATGGATACTTAGAATGCAGAGAACTCTGTTTGGACTCACACAGTTGAAGAAAAGCTAAAGAGAAGTTATATTGTAGGAGCCATTGAGATAATAACATAAAAATAAATCTTCTACAGTATGGTTAATGAGAAGTCCAGAACAAAGGCTAATGTCCTAGGAGGGGAAAGACAAAAAAGTACAGGAACAACACACACACACGCGCGCGCACATGCAGGGAAAAATAACTAAGTCTCCATCTACAAAGTTGAGAAGACAAACACAGGGATGGAGCCACATGCCAAAGTTTCTATCCTCTGGGTAACTGTTTGTTTACCTTAATATAATTACAGCGGCCTCAGAGACTTTTCAGCAAGAATATTCACATCATTTCACTCTGATCGTCCTCCCATTGAGTAGTTCTTACCTATTCACATGCATGCTATGGATTTTCTACAATAATGGAAAATCTTTGAAAAGGTGAGGTTCTGCAATTAAGAATATGGCCAAGTGAAAGAGGTTTTATGGAATATTCAATTCTTCCCAAGATGATGTACTCCATTAATCAGTTTCAAGAAGTGGATCAAACAATTCCTCACCAGGTTCTCCAAATGATATTAGATAACAGAACTCTTTGACATTGACATTATTGAATATATAGGACAAATATAATAATATTAACAAGTCTTCATTTAAAAAATAAACTTGAGCCAACTTACTTGCACAAGGACGGGGCATATAGAGTTAGGTTTTCCAGTATCCATTTGAGATTTGAAAGAAAACACACCAATAAAAAAAACAAAGGGAAACTGCTACATTTATGTTGCTACAGTATAATCATTTTAATTTTGGAAGAAGTGAGTAAATTTAAATCCTATGTAGCACTGTAACATTATTCTTCACTCCCTCAATATTCCAACCAGATTACATATTGTGGCTCCCTTACTAACGCTGAGTATTAGTGGTGATGATAAATAACATGATTAAATTATACAGATAAATGCATAACTATGATTCAGGCACTGCTTTAGTTACTGTATTTGGATTTTGTCAGTCCACCTTCTGGATAATTACCTATTATGACCAGGAGTATGTGCCTCATGGTCCTCAAAGTATAGGAACCATAAGTGACGCAAGTCACCTGCTGTTTTACTCTAAAATTGATTCTGCATCTGTCTCCTCTTCCCACAGGCAATGCCTGAGTGTAGCATAGTTGCTAAAGCAGGTCAACTTTTGAGTACACAGGGTACCTTCTCCTATGGTTGATTTGGGCTCAGGGTTCCCTCAAGTCTTTGGTGTGGCTTCCTTAGAATCCAGCAGGCTAGAATGTTCCTGCTCAACCTTCCTTCCCTCTCACCTGCTCTATGAGTCAGCCTTGCTTCTCAACCAAAGCTCCTCCAGCCCTACCAGCTTCTCCATTTCCTCTCGTAGAGCTCTCCTTAGTGGTATCCTCTTGTGCTAAACTTCCTTTACCATCTGTCTCGTGGAGGACCCAGTCTGACATATCTTCTGATATTTGTATTATAATTGCACCCTTTCTACAGATTGAGAATCCACGATCTGAATAGGTTAAATAACTTTCTAAAGGCCACATCTTTTGTAAAGTGGGTAGCAGGGGTTTGAACCCAGGAATTGTGAACTCTTGAATACAATCACTCAGTAATTCCTAGAAATTCCTAGAATACAATCACTCAGTAATTCCTAGAAAACTATTGAAACCAATAAAAATACATTAGCCATACAATTAACTTCATGTAAATTTTTTTTGAGATACTAGGGATACAAGTCAGTGTCATCACACTGAGCTACATCTCCAATCTGTTTTGTTGTTGTTGTTAGTGTTTGTTTGTTTGTTTGTTTGTTTTTGAGATAGGGTCTCATTAAATTGAACAGGCTGAGCTCGAACTTGC